AATAAAATAATAAAATCAATACTCTGCTGCTGTCATAAAGCAACCATAGATCGCGGTGGTGCTTTACAGTGAATTGAATTGGTGATAAATGAATTCTCAGCAGTGTCGATCCTCGCAAAGGCGAACCCATTTTATTTCAGAAGAGCTGTGGAGATGATTAATAAAACATTTTTCTCCACCCTATCGTCCATCCTTATACGTTTTTCTTTTTTTAGTAGCCTGCTAGTGCTCAACACGATAATAGCCAGGCAATGGCAACGGGGCAGAGAAGCACAGAGGAGTCTGGGGGAAATAGCAGGTGTAGCGCAGGTGGCACAGCTGTAGGCATTCATGCAAGGAGGCAATGCGCTTCCTCGTCATGGCGTAGTAGACTGGCGACAGTGACATCAGCGCCTGCACTCTTAGTACTTCTCCACGTTTTCCATCTCATCATAGGATGGGCCTCCTCCCCTCCCTCCATTTCTCTTGCAGAGTCTAACAGCCTTAAACAGCATCGTGTTTTGGGGTATAAGAGTAACTTGGCTCTCTATTTTTGCAGAACCTCTTTCTGTATTGGTCTGTTTTAGCTGTCAGATTATGGCCTAACAAATCGCCGTTTTCAGTCATATTTTTAGGCAGTTATCTTACCGTCAATTTCAAATCATTTACTTGTCTCAACAGCTCTTCTGTTGAGGTCCTCACGGATACAATCATGCAACGTGAAAGAATAAGTCTATATAAGCTATCCCTATTATGAGCTTGACTCAGCCTCATGAGAACTACTAGTCTGGAAGTGGCTTCGTTATTAATGTGAAGAAGAGTTAAAAGACTAGTAGCACAATTTTATTCACCAATGCAATGATTGGACATGTTTGCTCATAAAGTAAACACTGCTACTGCATGATATTTGTCATTTTTAGTGACCCTTTGAACATTTTTCCTTTGGCCGCCGTATTAGTGTTTAAATGGTATAAAATCTTGCTCTATCTCTTCCCATAAAAGAAACATTCCAACGCTAGTAGATTCGGGATGAGTTCATCATTTAGGTTATTTGTTGCCAAGGTGCATTTGGAAATCTATTTAAAATGCGCTGCTTAGATTTGGAATAGAGGAAGATCGAAAGGCTTATGTGCCGATCACTTTTCGTCAGGTCACTTGTTCATCATTTTTATCACCAATATTTCTCTGCAATTTCCACTATGGAATAAAATTGTTATGCACTAGTTGCAATCTAGAACATTGACGGAAGTTACCTCTCACTTTTGCAAACACCTTCTACTAATGGTCCACAAATCGTAAAAGGATGATCCACTTGCATGATTTAAAAAGGGGGACGTAAGTAATGAATTAAGATAAAGCCATTTCTCTTACTAAGTATTAAGGGTTGAGTCACCAAAATTCTGACAGATATCACCAATTTCTATCCAATCAAATATCGTTAATTCCGGTCCTTATTCCTAAATTTAGCAATTTAGACATCCAATGCAAGTTGGTGGTGCATATCAAACTTATGGCCACCACATTCTTTTTTTCCTATTTCCGCAAATCCATCTTTTCCCATAGTACT